GGATTTAACAGTTTTTAGAAACGTAATCATTAAGATCTGGTGATGGATTGAAGGCGAAAGATGAAAGATTTGCTGTGGTATATGAATAAAAACTGAGAGAACCAAGAATGACACTCAAGTTTTAGGTCTGTCAAAAGTGCCATTTACTGAGGTTTGACAGGGAAGATGATAAGTTCAATTTTTTAAAAAGATATATTTATTTATGCATACAAGAGCTGGGGTACAGACCAGAGGTGTGGGGGGTGAGAGGACCAGAGACAAAGCGGAGAACAGATCAGGCAGACTGACTGAAACACACTGCTGAGGGAAGACACGGGCGAGAAAGGAGAGGTCTGCTGTACCATGTGGGTCAGCAGCCTGGCAGGGGATCGAACTCTCAGCTCCTTGGTGGGGGATCGAACTTGTGCTGCAGAGGCTGCAGACAGCTTCATAGTGCTGTGTCTTAACCCCTTGTGCCTCTAGGGAGACCCTGATAAGTTCAGTTTTAACTTAACATCAAAGTAAGATGGATATGTTGTTAGGACATGCGACAGAAAAAACCCTAGATTAAAACAGGTTTGAATACTACAATATTGGGGAAATAAACCATCCAAGCTGATGACTTACTCAACAAGTGAGTGTGCTTAGATGAGAACAGAAGAGGGTCTGGGCAAAAACTGATATTAAGGGCTAGGCAAAGGCCTTCCCATAAAAGCAGTTCTGATGAAATTTTGATCATGGTCTTCTAGGCTCCAGAATGGTAAGGAAATACTTTTTTGTTATTTAACTTCTCCAGTCTGTGATATTTTATTATGGCTGGTTCACAAAACTAATACATGCCAGAATATAGATCCTAACGCAAAAACTTTTGAGGGACAACACCTTATGCATTTTACTGCTGATGTCTTTCTTTCCATCATATCAACATGTATTTAACCATAATGTACATTTTGTTCTTCTTATTAAATAAATTTTTATAATTTTATACATAGAAGCAATAACTTAAAAGTCCTATTTTATTAAAAATAAATTAATGGTTAATTACTTTGCAATGTTTTATCAATCTTCCTTTAAATAGCGATTACCCTTTATGTGTTTAAAATAGCAATTGATTTATAAAGGTTTACTTTTATGCCATTTTTCAAGATATTTGAATATTTTGTACTATTGTAAAAGTGACCAACATTAAGATAATCCTCATAGGGAAAGTTCAAACACATCATAAAAATTAGAGATTTTTAAAGTTACAGCATTCCCTAAAATAGCAAGCTACATGAGAGTACTTAAAACCTGAATGGGTGATACTGTGAAGGGAAACTATGGGGGCTACAACTATGTAAGAAAAAAAATTAATTAATAATAATACAAATAAAACTAATAGAAACATTTTGTTATGACCAATTTTATTTAAAAAAAATAAAATAAAACATGAATCCGATTTAACAAAAGTTTAACTCGCAAGTTATTTTTCAGGAGTCATCTAGTGAGCATGAAAATACTTTGCATGCATTTTAGGAAAGCACACACCTGACTTTAGCACAGACTACTATACCATCCTGAGGTACAAGTCCACTAGCTGTGTGATATGCTCCTGGCATCTGCATGGATATGACGTTTAGAAGGCAGCAATGTGCAGTTGCTTAATAATTACAAGTTGTTGTTCAGCAGTTCCTGAATCGTTGAGCAAACAAAAGTGGATGGAGCAGGTATATAAAAGTGAAAGGATTAAATCAAAGAGACTGAAAGGAGGTCCTTACAACAGCATACTCAGTAACGTAGGGCAGTTAACTGTTGGGAGACAGTCAAGTAGGAGACAAAATTGGAGAGTTTATGGAGTGACTGAGGCTGGAGGCTCTTATTTTGCAGAAGGACAGAGTTTGGTGGGCATGGACAGTAGAACGGATACTCTGCCAAACATTAAAGCAATAAGAAATTATGTCTCAGAGAAGGTTACTAGCAGCAGGGAATTCCACCTTTGTATGTGTTTGAGGGACCTCATAAGAACAATGGAAGTATATGCAGAACTAGTAGAGTGTGAGTATAGACAGGAAAATGAGAGCACATTCTTCTCATGATAACAAGCCAGTATTCCCTGGGAAACAGATCCTTGTATTAAACACAGAACAGGCCAATTCGTTCACCTGAGATCCCCCTACATATGGCTAAACCTTTACCACATACATTGCAGAATCCATCTGTAAAAAGCCTCAGGGGAGTGTAATGGCTTTCCTCTTCAGGTTTATAAACACATTGTGATGACCTGGAACCTTTGCTGAAGAGAGAGAGCAGAGATGCCTGGACAAGGTGTGGATCTGCCATAGTGGCTATAACTGATGTGTTGATACAATTAAAAAACCTGCCTAAGTCAGATTGTGTTAAATCACATGTAAAATTAATATCATAATATGAAAATTATTTCAGATGTTAGTAAGCATTACAGACATGTATTTACAGCATTTTAAATGCTTAAAATGGTACTTTTACCATATTTTTTGAGGCAGAAATCTGTCAACAGGAAAATGTTCTTGAGTTGCAGATTAATGAATAGCTAGAGACAAGTTTCTACAAGAGACTGAAAACATGGATGTATTTTTTTCTGGCATGCTTCATTTCCCCCTGCCTCATTAATTTTCTTGTCTGCTTGCTGCCCATCACAAGTCTTACCTGCATTTTCTATGCTGCATGATCTCAAATCAGTACTGACTTTACAAGCTTCTCCATGTTTGCTAGAGATTAAAGGAATACCTACTTCCCACCTGCCTCACACACAGACTGAACAATGAATAAGCAGCAGGGACAGTAACTTTCTAGTTTCTTAAGAAGTTACAGAATTGATCCAAATGTATCATTCCTAGATTGTCTAAATAATGTTAGCTTTTAATTCTGTCATTTTTCATCATTCTCCCCATTTGCACAACATCCAGGTTTATTCCGCAAGGCTATGCCAGAATGCTCTTACCCATTTCCAATGAGAGTTTCAGTGAGCAAAGTTCTTTCTAGCTGCCTCTGATTTTTACTTAATTTCAGGCAAAATTGCTGCCCAGTGAATTTCTATCTTCCCAAGGGGTACTTCTCTGTAACTCTCACAGAAATCTCCATGAACTTCCTGTTCCTGGTCATAACCTATGTCAACTTCCTTGAATGGGTTCTTGTTTCTTACTCTCTTTTCCTCTGAGCACTCTTTTCTTCTTGCGGTGACAGCTCCTTCACCATGATGAAATGGCCATACTTGCTTCCCTCACTCATCAGTTTTACCTCATTTCTGGTCACCAGCCTACATGATTGTTACAATCTTATTTAATTTCTGGGAATCCTTGCTTTCTTGTGCATGGTTCAATTGTGAAATAACTTTAAGGAAAATTCCATCTTATATTTGACAACATTTTGTTTTCTCTAAAGCAGGATACAATGTAAATTTATGACAGAACCATTTTCTCATATTTTCATAGGTAATATGGATTTAAGGAAAGCCAGAAAGCTAAAGATTGCCAAGGTGCTTACATGCAAATAAAAGTTCCCATATTCATCATCACTTGTTGTATATTTTGTACCTTCCATTGTACAAATCATGGCTCCCTACAGGTGAAATGTCCTTAATTAATTATTCAACACTTTTTCTCAAATGCTTTCTCTGTGTTATTTCTAAACAAAACATCAGATTTGATAGCTAGCCTTTTGTATCTGCAGAAAATATGTAACCTGAGCATGTACTGCATTCGTCTCCATGGATACCAAATTTCTGTGAATGGCACTTCGTGTGAAAATATCCATAGGGAGGGAAACTGAATTTTGCTCATTCTTTCAGTTCAGTTCCTTCTCCTGACTTTTTTTTTCCTGACTTTTTTTTCCTTACACTTCTTATTCCAGACTATATAAAACAAGAATTCTGATACACGTTGCATAATAGAAATTCCTTGTATTTGGATCACAGGCCACCATGTTTGTATTCTTGTTTGTATTCTTTTGACTACTTAGTAAGCATCAACTCAGAGAAATTAAAACTACTGTAGGAAATGGGAAGGTAAAAAAACCTAAGCCGATTTTTGACAAAATCTAACTAAGGTATCTCAAATTTAGCTCAGAAATTTTGATTCAGTAGAACAGTAATTGAAGAAAGGCGGGGACCCAAGGGCAATTTTTATTTCTTGAAAACACCAGTTTTTTGGTTCGAACATCATTAATTTAGTTAGTAAATCCCTTTTTACCAACTTTGTGATGCTTAATTATGACATATGTCTTTAACTAATAAACATAGAAGGTATATTGATTACCGTAATAAATGGAACATATTTAAGTATTTCAAAATCCAAAAAGAAAAAGGTCCTCATTGATTAAAAAAAAAAGAACCATCCTCTTACTTAATGCTTTCTTTGTTGATTTGCATGTTTTATTTTAATGTTTAAACTTGCTTTAGAGCAACATATACATTAAAGTTTATTTTTGATAGGAGACCTCCCCTGGTGGCGCAGCGGTTGAGCGCTGGGTTGCGAGGCTGCCCGCAGCCTCTGCAGCGCCGGTTCGTTCCCCGGTTACCGAAGAGGGTCCCACAAAAAAAAAAAAAAAAAAGTTTATTTCTGATATATTATCGTCTTGCATCTTGGAGGGTCCCACAAAAAAAAAAAAGAAGTTTATTTCTGATATATTATCATCTTGACTATATGGTTGTTCTAAACTTAAGAAAAGAAAGTAGGGTTTCCCCGGTGGTGCAGCGGTTGAACGCTGGGCTGTGAAGCTGCCCACAGCCTCTGCAGCGCCGTTTGGATCCCCGGCCACAGGGCGAGGGTCCCACATGGCGCGCAGACCTCTCCTGCCGCCCGCTGCTCCCCTCAGCAGTGTACTTCGGTCCTTCTGCCTGCTCTGCTCCCCGCTCTGGCTCAGGTGAATTCTCTCACCCTCCCGCGCTTCTGACTGTACCCAGTGCTTGTAGAAATAAATAAATAGATCTTTAAAAAAAATAAAGAAAAGAAAGTAGAGATCAGATCATTTGACGAGAAATCAGATATGACTGCTTTTGCTCACAGATCCCATGGCAAGATATTGACGAGCAGGAGCATTGATGCCTGAGAGACTGAAGCTGAAGAAGGCAAGGCAACTTGTGTTCCACAGACTCCATAGGAACTACTGGCAGCTGTGAGCTTGAACATGGTACAAAGGCTATTCTTCACTGTCAGAGTGAAGCCAGCTGCAACTCTACTGACTTTCCAGGAAGGGAGAGCAACCTGTTGGGAAATGAGTGTTATTTACTTTATCTTTTATAATTAGTGAATTGATTTATTTTTAATCAATTAGTGTATCCCCATCAGGTTTCACCACCATAGTGCATCCACCACCCACTCACCCTTATTCTACCACTAAGACCATTGTGTTTCCTTCCCTTTTTGTTCTTTCCCTCCCCACCCCTTGTTACTCCAGTTAGGTAGTCAGCTATCTATGGCTAGTTTTTCAGTTGTCTCTATCTGACTATTAATTTACTTACTTTATATTCTACGTGTTAATGACACCACCAAGTATTTATTTTTCTCCTTCTGACTTGTTTCACTTAGCGTTATGCTTACAAGCTCCATCCATGTTGCCACAAATGGCATGAGTTTATCTTTTTTTAATAATTGAGTACTATTTCATTGTGTATATATACCACATCTTGATCCACTCATCTGTTTTGGGGGATTTAGGTTGTTTGCCTTGTTTAGCTAGAGTGCAAAATTCCTTTGGAATTAGTGTTTTTGAATTTTTTTTGAATAGATGCCTAAAAGTCGAAGTACTGTGTTGAATGGCAGATCCACATTTATTGTTCTGAGACACCTCTGCACAGCTTTCCATCAGACTGGACCGGCTGCATTCCCAGCAGCAGTGTATGTGTGGTCCCTTTTTGTCCACATCCTCACCAGCACTTGTTGTTTCTGGTCCTTTAGATATGGGCCATTCTCACAGGTGTGTGATGGTATCTCATGTGATATTGATTTGCATTTCTTCTATAATAAGTGGTTGTGAAAATTTTTTCATGTACCTGCTGCTGTTGTAATGTCTTCTTTGGAGAGGTACCTGTTTAGTGCTTTTGCCTATTTTGATTGGGTTATTTATTTTGTTTTTGTAGAGTTCTATGTGTTCTTTGTATATCTTAGATAACAGTCCTTTGTCAGATGTACAGTGTGCAAATAATTTTCTCCAATTCAGCAGGATTTCTTTCACTGTGTACAAGCTTTTTAGTTTGATGTAGTCCCAGCTGTTTATTTTCCCTTTTGTTTCCCCTGCTGTTGGGGACAAATCCCTAAAGACATCACTAGAGTTTTTATCATGTAATGTTTTGCCTATGTTTTCTTCTATGTATTTTATCATTTTATGTTGTATATCCAAATCTTTGATTGATTTTGAGTTGATTCTGGAGTATGGTGTGAAATTGTGGTCTAGTTTTATTCTTTTGTATGCAGCTGTACAGTTTTCCCAACACGATTTATTGAAGAGGCTATCCTTTTTCTAGTGTATGTTTTTGGCTCGTTTTTCAAAGATTAACCGTCCATATATATGTGGACTTATTTCTGGACTCTCAATTCTACTCCATTGGTCTGTGTGTCTGCTTTTGTTCTAGTATCAGACTATTTTAATTATTATGGTTTTATAATGTAGCTTGAAATCTGGAAGTGTGATACCTCCATTCTCAAAAATGATTGTTCTTTAGGAATCAATTTGGATTGTTCTGCAGCCAAGAACAGTGTCAAGAACAAGATCCAATACTAATGTTCATTCTGTCTCTCTCTAAAATACCTGCTAGGTTTAGAATATAAATGACTCTCTCAATTAAAAAAAGAGAACATCTCCATATTAGCAAAAAAAAAAAAAAAAAACTGTATTGCCAGCAGGAACAGATAACTACAGGTGAGAAATGGCTAAAAATTCCTCCCTTCAGACAGCTGTCAGACTCGAGCTTCCTCCCACATTGCAGGGATGGCGGAGAGACCCGAAAGAAGCTCTGGGAAACCTTCTTGCTTATGCCAACCTCTTCAGCATTCTGAGGCAAACCTAATGAGTACATTCCCCTTTTTGCTTTCAGTTCAGGCAAAAACTGAAGTTCAGATATTTCTTGTTCAGTAATAGGTTAGTATCTGATATACCAGAGAGAGACAGAGATTTCACTGATCTTCTGAATTTTAAAACCGGGGAAAAAGATATTCTCAAAAGATAAAATGTAAAAACATGTGAAAGGAATCACAGAAACCATCACTCAGGGCAGTTCCCGGCTTCGACATTAATGCACCCAGTAAGAGTAAAGGAACACAATGCCCCTCAGCATAATGATGGAGACATTACTTGAAAAGGAAGAGTTTATGAGCTGGATGATACCCACTAATTATATCCTGGAAAATGTCTGTCAGTACAAACAAGAACAATTGAAAGGAACTCTCAGAAAATGGAGTGGAACAAATAGTAAAATATTATTCACTTCAATAAGGCCTTCGAGTATACTTCACAAGCAGAAGTTAGCAGTGCTTTGAACAAACAGAAGATATGGCTACAATTTTCTGTGATACACTATCTATGGCATATTTTGCTTTATTATTATTATAAAATTCCTTTATTTTTTATACCAATCAGTTTTTAAGAGTATAGTAAAACAGATTTTTCTCTTTTTTCCCCTCAACTCAGCATATATCTCCTTTTTCTCCACAACTGGAGAGCAAACTACAGTGAGGAAAATGGTGGACATGTTCCCTGGAAGAAGGAGCATATCTTCTATTTCTTTGTAAACCCTATTGCTTCATACCATGAATGGCAGATTTAGTACTTTGAAAGTGTTTGTTAAAAGGTTGTAGGGATTGATTAAGCAATGCTATGTATGAATAAATACATTGATGCTGTCTTCCTTGTGTCACTTGTAGAGAGAGAACATGTTGCTTCAATGTTTATTATAGCTCTTTTTCACCTGTAGAGATCAGCTTAATGGGACCAGGTAAGGGTGAGGGGAAAAGAATGGCATCAGCTATATACTCAGAGCATGTCCTGTGCTGGTGTTTTATATGTGATCTTAATCACATATATAATGACATGTACATAATAACATATATAATCCTCATGACTGTGAGAAAGAATCACTAGCTGCCTTTTATAGATAAGCACATAGAGTCTCAGAGAGATTACTAATTTGCCCTGATTCACATGGCTTGCAGATGGAATTTAAAGTCAAATTGTTTCTCCAAGCAGCACACCTTTTATTTTCGCTCTAAACATAAAACACAGTATAAAGATTAAATTACTAACACATCTGGTTGCAACACCATTTAAAACTCTTAGTACTCTCAGTGGCCCCTACCAACTTAATAGTTATTTATTGAGCACTCAATACAAATAACTTCTTGCACAAGAAGATAAATCCTACTACCATTCATTATGGGCAGGTTAGGCTTGATATCAGTTGTCTGGATACTATAACATTCTGAGTGTAGTAGAAACAGTCAAGATAATTAAGGAAATTTAAACATCACTTAAAGCAGTTAAAAATAATCTATTTCAAGAGAAATGGTAATTTTCTCTAATTAGGAAAAATTAGATTGCATACTAAAATATTATCTTAGTAAGTGCAATAATCATTAAGATAACTTGTAACCACATTCTGATGCTAAGAAAGTCATAATAATTAACTTTTCTTGAGATTTTTGAAAAAGTTTACTGGACATCTGAAATCCTGCCAGATTATTGGAGCTCTCTAGATGCTCATGCTTACTAACTTCCCTCTTACTAACTGGGAATCACACTTGGGATCAAAAGATTTTAAGAAATGGTGTCCTGTTAGTCATTTGTTCTAGTGACAGCACAAGGTAGCCATGGAAATATGGAGCACCATAGGATCTGGGTAACTTCTTGGAACACAATCTTCGGGAATGTTTTCTCAGCTTATGAGGGCGTTATATTTGTCAGGCACCCTAGCCTTTGAAAGCTCAGCCTGTCATTCTAAGATATAAACTATTCATCTACATAAACAGCACTTCTGTGAAGAGTTTTGCTCTGAATTTCTGGCTTCTTTCCTCCCTTTTGCTCTCAGTCTCCTGAAATTTCCCCTTTCTGCCCAGATAGGAACAGGTCTAAGGCTATTTGGCAATGTAGCCTGCAACCCTGTTACCTGTTGACGACAGGGCCTAAGGCTTTAATACTCACCTCAGTGAAGTTCCCACGGGCACACAGGCAGTCACAGGTACAGTCCTGGGGAACGCACACACAGATCGGGTACAGATCAGGGCAGAGAATGGTAGATTTAGACAGGGCTAGTCCATTCATTCATAGTGGGGTAAGCACTTCACAAAGTATTATACTCCCCACAACTGCAACCTACAAAGACCAATAGGTCATGTGCTGGTCAGCCATGGATAGTGAGGCAAGGAAGTGCTGCCCAGAGCGAACAGCTCTTTCTCATCTAACATTCAGTTGTGTGGTGGCCCAGCCAGGCTGGGGAGCAGGCTAGACAGAAAATCCATTCCAGACCCTTATTGGGTCACCAGCTCACAAAATTATGTGCCAAGCTACTAATTGTTAGGGTCCAGACAACCCTTCCTGACAGGACATGCACAAGGCAGACATTGTTCCCAGTCAGGCCTCATATCAGAAGAAAAAATTCTACAGCATAGCCATGGCCAAACGTTCCCTCTTGTCTGAGATGCTGTATTGCTATTTGTGTGCTGCCAGGGCCTCGGGAATCTTACATCCCTCTCAACCTTGCTAAGAAAAAAATCACAGCACAGTTTCCTGGAACTGCATGAGGAGATGTCCTTTTATCTACCTCCTGGAACTGAAAAAAGAGTTTTCAGGAAGTTTTCTAATGAAACCTAAGGGAGACAGAAGGAAACTTCAATTTTTCATGGTTTTTTCTTCTCATTTTCTGATTTCTCACAAAAAGCATGTATTACTTTGCAATAATAATAAAAAGAAGGTCTAGAAGGAATATATTTACTTCACCATTTTGCATAAAATCATTATTAAAAATGAGTTTTAAAATATTAAATATAATGCATATATTTTATGATTGCTGAAGGAAATGGCACAATTTAATTGACCATTTCCTGTGCTGTCTGGGGTTGAGAATAAGGGATTGTATTGTGCCTTCCCTGCTCCTGTTTTCCCTTCCCCAGAGTCTAATATATCAATCAAATAAAATTAGTGTAATTAGGATGTCGACTAAAGACAGATGGTCTCTTCCTCTAAGGTTTTCAAATGAAAACCAAGTATCATTATAAAGCAAACAAATTAATTTATTCATTGAAATTAAATGAATATGATCATTGTCATTTTAAGGAACTCAGATCATTTGAGATTGAGATCATGGAAAATACAAATGAATTCTTATGAATGAATACAGGCTTTGATTACAAATGATCAATGTTTCCTTCTGAGCTTGTTAACACCAACGCTGTGACTCCCAGGCATGTGTCATTTGTCTTTCCCTTGCTGTCTTCTCCCAGACATAGTCAGCCCAACCTACCCAGCTGCCTACCTCCTGGGCGGGCTTGGAGAAGGCTGTTCCTTTAAGTCCAGCCCTGGGCAGTGTAGACCTCACGAGGGGCTATAGGACATTTCTTTTTGTAAATTCTACCCTAATTTGCAAGAAGCCAATTATTTAACTGGGCAGAGACAATTTCAAGAGGGTAAAGGCTGAGAAATGAATGGAACTAGAGGAAATGGACATAATCAGGAGGGACTAAAGGTTCTTGGATGCTGAGAAGAGAGTGAAAGCAGCAGCAACTTGAAGAGGAGGCTGGGTCATGATCAAGATACCTTAGGTACTGATAAATAAAGTGTGTTTATAGCCTGAGAGAAGCAGTCAAGGAAGTTTGGGACCAATAATTTTCTGCTCATTCCAAATTTCTATTGACCCTTTGAATTAATTACTTCAGATTATGAATTTTAAACTGTTATTCATATAACTTTAAGATCAAGAATACTTTTCAAGTGATGTAACAAATTCAAAGAATGGGATCTCCATGCACCTCCCTGCCAGAACTGGAGGTACCGGGATCTCTATGGGCCAAATAAGGAAACAAATACTGGTAGTGACTCAGTGGCAAAAATAAATAAATAATTAAAAACAACGATGAGGGCCTCCCTGGTGGCGCAGCGGTTGAGCGCTGTGTTGCGAAGCTGCCCACAGCCTCTACAGCACCGGCTTGATCCCCGGCTGTTCCCCGGCTGCTTCCGGGCCACCGGAGGAGGGTCCCCCATGGCGCGCAGACCTCTCCTGCCGACCGCTGCTCCCCTCAGCAGTGGACTTCGGTCCTTCTGCCTGCTCTGCTCTCCGCTCTGGCTCTGGTGAATTCTCTCACCCTCCCGCGCTTCTGACTGTACTCAGTGCTTATATAAATAAAATAAATAAATCTTTAAAAAAAAAAAATAGAAAAAAAAGGAAAAAAAAAAAGAAAAACAACGATGACACAAAGTCTTCCAGCTTTTAACATGATTTTAAAAGTATTTAAAAATATTAATGTACTTTTTCCTATGCCTTCCCCTTTCCACTATTTCAGTGCAGATAACGTACTTTCAAAAATCTTGTTTTTCTTAGACTATTTACTCAGATGGTATTCTTTTCTGAATTAAATAAAACAACATAAAACTATTTTTTTTTTTACCAAATATGAAGTTCTTTGTGTTTTACAATCAGTGATCTAAACAGATCACCTTATAAAATTCTAAAGTATGGAAGAATAGGGCCTCCCCTGGTGCCACAGCGGTTGAGGGCTGGGCTGCGAAGCTGCCAGCAGCCTCCGCAGCGCCGGTTTGATCCCCAGCCACTGGTGAGGGTCCCACATGGCGCACAGACCTCTCCTGCGGCACCCGCTGCTCCACTCAGCAGTGTCCTCCGTCTGTCTGCCTGTTCTGTTCCTGGCTCTGGCTCTGGTGAATTCTCTCACCCTCCTGTGCTTCTGACTGTACCCATGCTTGTATAAATAAGTAAGTAAATAAATAAATAAACAAATAAACAAATAAATAAATCTCAACCCAAATGCCCAAAAATAGATGACTGGATCAAGAAGATGTGGTACATATACACCATGGAATATTACTCAGCAATCAAAAAAGATAAACACATGCAGTTTGCAGCAACATGAATGGAGCTAGAAGGGATCATGCTCAGAGAAATAAGCCAGAAAGAAAAAGAAAAATACCAGATGGTCTCACTCATAGCAGGAATTTAGAAAACCTAAATAAGAGGCCAGGAAAAAGACTAATCAATACAAAGCAAAAATCAAATTCAACAAGCAACTATAAACCAGAGACACACTGGGGGTGGGGGGGGATGGAAAGACTAGAGTCAAAATAAGGGGGGGGTGCAATTGTATGGGGAATATAACCATAATGAAAATGCATACATTGTGCAAAGATGAAAAATGATGTAAGAATTATATAAAATAAAATACTTTAAAATTAAAAAAAAGTTAATCACTAAAAGGAACTACTGCTAACATATAGCATATAAAAATTCTTTTATGAAAAAAATTTTTAAAAAAGTATGGAAGAATAAGTGGTTAGTAACTGCCTAACTATATCCTGATAGCACTAATTTTGAGAGAGTTTATGATTAGAGCTAGCTGGTTGCTGGGGGATTTCTTTTTTTTTTTTTTTTTTAAATAGAGGCATGTTTTATTTATTTATTTGTTTGTTTTGTTTATACATGCACTGGGTACAGACAGAAGCGCGGGAGGGTGAGAGAATTCACCAGAGCCAGAGTGGGGAGCAGAGCAGGCAGAAGGACCGAAGCACACTGCTGAGGGGAGCAGCGGGCGGCAGGAGAGGTCTGCGCGCCATGTGGGACCCTCCTCGGGTGGCCGGGGAGCAGCCGGGGATC